CGACTCGATCCAGGCAGGAATCCTATATGGTGGTTGTTATTAATCCCATGTTATAGATAGGGCAGCTGGGGTCTGGAGAGATTAACTGAGGTGTGCTAGGGGGCAGAGGTAGGATTTGAGCCTAAGGAGTCTGGCTCCAAAGTCATGCTTTTTACAAGCCAGGCATGGTAGTGCACACCTGTAGCCCATGAGGAGGCCGAGGCAGGAGGATTTCTGTGATTTCGAGACAAACCTAGGTTACATAGTGAAACCTTGTCTCAAAACAAACAACCCCTGTGCTCTTGTGGCCTCTGAGCCTGGGCCACCTCCCGCCAGTGTGTGGACTGGGCCGAGTCTTGCTTTCCATGTGCGAATGGCTTCTGCTGCAGCTTGCTCCTAACAGCCTGCTCTGTGTCGCCATGCCAGCAGACATCAGCAAGTGGACCCGGACCATGAGCCTGCAGGAAGTGGAGGAGCAGCCCAAGCACCCATTTCGGGCCACTTACAGCAAGGTGAAGGTGGACAAGCTGGGCAAAGTGCTGACGCCCACCCAGGTTAAGAACAGACCCACCAGCATTTCCTGGGATGGTCTGGGTCCAGGTAAATGCTACAGCTTGGTCCCGACAGACCCAGATGCTCCCAGCAGGCAGTCTCCCAAATTCAGGAAATGGCGCCATTTTCTGGTGGTCAACATGAAGGGCAACGACATCAGCAATGGCACAGTCCTCTCTGATTATGTGGGCTCCGGGCCTCCCAGTGGCACAGGCCTCCACCACCACGTGTGGCTGGTCTACGAGCAGGACAAACCGCTGAAGTGTGATGAACCCATCCCCAGCAACCGATCTGGAGACCACCGCGGCGAGTTCAAAGTTAGCAGCCTTCCGAAAGAACTACCAGCTCGGGGCCAGGGGAGGCAGCATGTGTTACCAGGCTGAGTGGGATGACTGCATGCCCAAACTGTACCAGCAGCTCTCTGGAAAGTAGGGGACACTCCACAAGGTTTTAGGGTCCTGGAGACCCCAAGCAGTGTTCTTGAGTTCCATTCAGTGATGGATGTAGATTCTTCCTTTGTCCCTCTCCCTTTGTGCAGGTGAGCCCTGATCTGTCCCATGGTGGTTTAGGGTGACTTTTCCTGCTGCCTGTCCTTGGGGATTCTAGGTAGTCACATCTCAGTTTATGTGTGAGTCAAAGTTGAGCTCTGTTTTGGAGGATATTTTGGTACTGCGATGGGATCATTGGATTGTTAATAAAAGTATAGCAGCCCAAGATTTAAGGGGGTAAAAAAAAACCAGGCAAAAAGACCAAGTATAAGGCTGGGGATTTAGCTCAGTGGTTCTGCTGCCTGCCTCGAAAGCTCAAGGACCCAAGTTCGATCCCCGGTACCAAAAAAAAAAAAAAGACCAAGTATACAGGAAGAGAGTAAATTATCAAAGAATCTGTAAAGGAAGCTAAAAAAGAAAAAGATTGGCTGTCTCTGCCTTCATGAGTTTGAGTCGAGTTGCACATAAGGCACCTTCTGAGATGAATTTTCACAGTGTGGGAAGACCAGAGGCTCCCATCTTGGGTAAACTGGGACAAGGTATTGCATTTCTGGTGGCTTAGAAGGTGTCAGGGCCCTGCTCCGGGTCCTTTAAAGGGCATGGCTGGAAACAGCATTAGGAGGAATGGCTTTGCTCTTGTTGATGCCTGGCCATATAGATTAGCAGTGGGTTAGGGTGACAAGTTGTCAGGGTCCTTAAACTAGGGTCTAAGTTGGTCCCTTAGACCCTAGTCATTGGTCTAAGAAAAGCTGGGCTAGAGTTGCTTGCTGTTGTGTTAATTCTGGCATTTGCTTTTCTTTGAATAAAAGTGAAAACACTGGACAGAAACAAACAACCCCCCCCCCACACACAAAGTCATGCTTTTTACAACATATGGCTTCTTCATGAGGTTGCTGTAGAGAAGAAAGCACTCACTGTCACAGACGTGCCCGAGTGTGGCAGCGGGGAGGCACTGCGGGCAGTGCCAGGGTGGAGTTGGCCTCCATTCCCAAAGGTGGCTCTCCGGTCACCTGTCTCCACCTGCCTTTCCTCCCTGCGCCGCGCCCCCCCTGCCCAGATTCAGAGCCCAATCCCTGGAGCCCCAAGAAGGTGAGCTGCTGAAACCCAAGCCCAGCAGGACTCAGCTCTGTCCCAGCCTCTGGACGGCCTGGGCCCTCATAGGGACAGGCAGCCCCATTCCTGGACCAGGATGCTGACTGGCTTCCGGAGCCACTATTTTGGGTCCTGCTGACCATGCACAAGCAAGAAATAGCAGCAAGACTGAGTTTTGAGGTGGAGAGGGGTCTGAGGGACCTGGGGCAGCAGCTTGGGCTGCTGACCTGGGACGAGCTCCGGCTGCTGTGGGGATTTGGGCCCCTCCAGGCCAAGGCTGAAGGGAGAGCATTTTCCACCCTGGAGCGGAGCAGAGCCCAGGCTGAGTGTGGCTCCTGCTGCACTGGCCCTTCTGCCATCCCCCAGCGAGGGCCTGGGGCAGCCAGCAAGGATGGGGACCGAGTGCCATGGAGAGCTGGCCAGAAGAGCTGGCTGGGCAGCAGCTGCCCTTGAGCCAGAGCCTGGGCATCCTGGACCCAGGAGGAAGCTTTTCAGCCCTGTCTCCTTTCTTCTGAGCCTCGGTTTGTCTACCTGTGAAATGGGGATATGAGTCCTCCCAACCAAGCAGTGTAATGTGCTGTGTGGACTGAATTGCAAAAGGGATGACTGAGAACTAAAACCCTGCCAGTGAGTTTTAGCCCCTAATGCGGGGGTGCGTCCACTCAGGAGGAGGATGAACATGGTTCCTTCACTAAACTGGCTGTCCCGGGCTGCTTCTGCCTGAAGGTTTGGTTTGCTTGGGGATGAGTTTAGAAAAGGGAACACCTGTTCCAAATGTGGATAGAGCAAAAGCACTTGCTGTCCAGGAGCAGAGCAGATGGCAGAGAAGGCAAAGGCTCTGTAAGCCCCTGGGAGTGGGCAGAGCTGGCCCAAGACCCTCGGTGGAGAGGAGTGGGGTGGGAATGTGAGCAGGTGCTGGCTGGCATGGGAGGTTGGCGGAGACTCCCAGAAGTGATTTCTACAGTGAGGCCTCAGGGAGAAGCCAGAGTTCACCCAAGGAAAAGGTGAGCTCGGTGCACTCAGGTGCTGCAGCCTGAAGCCTGTGCGGCACAGAGGCAAGTGGTGGCCCACACCTGTAATTTCTGGGAGGCTGAGGTGGGAGGATCACAAGTTCCAGCCCAGCCTGGGCAACTTAGCAACTTAGTGAGACCCTGTCTCAAAATATAAAAGGGCTGGGGAGGAAGCTCAGTGCAAAGGCCCTGGGTTCACTGTCCAGTTCTGCAAGGCGGGGGGGATGGCACACATTCTAAAAAATGGCTTATGATTTCTTAATTGCATAGTATGGGCAGGAACAGAATTACAACATGCCTGGAGAGGCCCCAAGTGGTGGCACACACCCATAGTCCACACTGCTTGGGAGGAAGAGGCAGGAGGATCTCTTGAGCCCCAGGAGTTCCAAATCAGTTGGGCAACATAGCAAGGCACCATCTCTAACAACAACCAACCAAACCAACGTGGCTGGAGACAGGAGGAGGTTTTGAGATGCATGAAAGGGGAGCACCTTTCTACTTTGTCAAGGTGTCTGTATTTCAGAAGTTTGAAGAGTGAGTGTGGCTGATCATTTTAGTACTATGTCTGCCTGTTCCGGACAGCCCACTAGCAGGGTTTTGGAAGAATCCAGGTGAGGAGTCATGAGGAAAATGAAGCTATGAGAGCACATCTGGATATTTAGGAGTCCAAGATGGCACCCGTCGACGGCTTGGGAACAGTGTCTGTGAGAACCTGTCACTGAGATAGGGAACTAGGAAGAGCGGAGTGGCCACAGGTGGTGAAAAGCTCTTTGAGTTTGAAGCTCAGGCACGATATTCCCGTGGAGGTGGCCAGTTGGAGGCAGAGGCTTTGAGCTCAGGAAAGAATCGGGGCAGATCTGTGTGGGATCTTTAGCCTGGAGACGTTCGCTGAGGCTGTGAGAGCAGAGGGAACCTGGAGAGTGGGGACTCCAAGCACAGCGGGGGGCACAGGACAGGCCCCAGCATTCCAGGGCCGCCCAGGGAGGAAGAGGGAAGGCAGCCATTGAGTCCTCATGGGCCCCTGGGGTGGCGCTGCTTATGGGTGAGCAAGCTGGGCAGCTTTCTGTGCTGCTTTATCTTTTCAGGGCACCCAGAAACTCAGGGCTAAACATCTGCTGCATCACGGGACACTGCTCCTTCACCCAATGGTCTTTCACCTAGGACTCCTGCTGTGTCGCCACCCCACCCCCAACCCTGTCTTCCTCTTGTTTAATGGCTCTAGGGCTTAGGTGGCTGGAGTGTTAAGCTGTTCTTTGAGAAGTTTAGTGTAAAGGAAAAGATTAAACCAGGTGTGGTGGTGCAAGCCTGTAATCTCAGCACTCAGGAGGCTGAGGCAGGAGGATTGTTGTGAATTCAAGGCCAGACTGGGCTACATTCTGAGACCTCATCTCAAAAAAACAAAAACAATGGGGTGGGGGATTTAGCTCAGTGGTTTAGCCGCCTGCTGAGCAAGCACAAGGACCAGAGTTTGATCCCCGTGTATCAAAAAAACAAAAACAAGGCCAAGGATTTATCTCAGTGGCACCGCACCTGCCTCACAAGTGCAAGGTCCTGAGTTTGATTCCCCAATACCAAAAAAAAAAAGGAAACAATTGGTTCCAAAAGACACAATTTTGCACTGTGTGTGTGTGTGTGTGTGTGTGCTCGCGCGCGCGTGTGCACGTGCTAGGCAAGTGCTTACCATTGAGCCCCATCCCCTTCCCCACCTCCAGTTTGGTAACGGCTCTGGGTAGGGTGGGCACATGGAACTCTTCTTTATCACATAACCCGACCCATGGGCGAGGGCAGGACAGGGAGTGGTGGAACCCTCAGCTCTGTACCCAACTCCTCTCTCTGGTCTGTGAGAGCGAGTCGCCGTCCCTCCAAGCCAGGCTCCTGCTGTCTTTACGTCGAACCTTTTATTATAGAGACAGACTGAATTCTCTTCCGCATAAAGAATCTCTGGGTCGGTCGGGTCAGGGGAATCCACTGCTAAAGCCCCCCACCCGGCTCTCCCCGCCTCTGCCTCTGCCGAGCCCTGTCCTGACCTCTCAGGGTCTCTGGGAAGGGCAGAGGCTGCTGTCCCCCGCCGTGCTCACCGGGCGGGCCTTTGCGGGTGCAGGGCCCGGCTCCGGTGCTCACGGTCACAGCTGCTCCGTCTCCCACCCCAGCCGGTTGTCCAGCACCTGGAGCTGCCGCAGGAAGCCCGAGTTGGGGCAGATGTCCCGGTGGGCCTGCACCGTCTGGATGGCCTCCACCAGCGTCATGTTCTCGCAGATCATGAGGAAAGCCAGGACCAGCGTGGCGGAGCGGCTCACCCCCATGGCACAGTGGACCAGCACGCGGCCTGCGGGAGAGCCTCCCCTGTCAGCCTGGTGGGCACCCCCACCTCGGCCATCACCGCCCCCTTCCGGCCATCCTTTCAGCACTGGTGCGGATTCCAGGAACACGTAGACTGACTATCCTCACTGAGGCCCAGAGAGAGAAGGAGCGGTCCTCCAGGTCACACAGCAGGTTAGTAGCAGGGCTGAGGGTGGCAGCTAGGATTCCCTCCTCCTGGTCCAGGGTGCTCCCTCTAACATCCTTTGCAACCCTTGAGAGGGATGGTTACTGAACTCCTGGGGAACTCTAGACTTCATTAGATCATAGAGGATGCCTGCCCACCAACCTCTCCCCCATCCACTCCCTCCCTGTCTGTACTAAGACCTCATCTTAGAGGGGCTGCTGGGGCCAATGCCTGGCCTCTTATTGAGGGATACAGTTACACTGATGGCCACGGTACATCTTTTTCTATGTGTGTTTGGTTTTTTGAGACAGGGTCTTGCTATGGAGCCCAGGCTGGCCTGGAACTCACAGGGATTCTCCTGCCTCAGCCTCCCCAGTACCGGAGTCACAGGCCTGCACCACCACACCCAGCAGTGAGTCTCAGTTAAACCTGAGGTTGTTGGTTTCTAAGGTGGGAGGGTTGCTGATGGGGCCAGTGGGTTGGACTCCTCGCCCCTCAGTGCTACTGGGGAATGGGGGAAGCGCCAGACCCACCCTGTGCCCAGCCTGCCCAATGCCACCCCAGCAGCTGACCTCGGGGAACACTGAGGGCAGCTCGGATGTAACGAGCCACAGGCAGGAAGTAGATGCTGATGTCGAAGTTGGGGTTGTCATCTGCCTCGACGCCATAGTACTCAAGGGGCAGCCCATGGTAGAACTTGGCACCTGTGTCCACCTGAAACCTGCCTGCAGCGGCATTCACAACGTGGGTGATGCCCATCTGCATCAGGCGGCTCCTGTCCCGGGCAGCATACCTGAGGGGGATGCGGGGGGCTGACTTCAGTGGATGGCTCTGGTTGGAAGGGGACCTGCCCTGCCCCCTCTGGGCCCCTCCAAGGGTCCTGCAAGCTGCCCTGGCAAAGGGGCTGCTCCAATTGGAGTTGAAGGCCCCCTTTCAGCCGGGCGTGGTGGTGCACCTCTATCACCTCCACACTCAGGAGGCTGAGGCAGGAGGATCGTCAGGAGTTCGAGGGCAGCCTGGGCTACCTAGTGAGTTCAAGGGCAGCCTGAGCTACACAGTGAGACCCTGTCTCAAAAACAACAAGGGCTGGGGCTGGGGATTTAGCTCAGTGGTTTTGCTGCCTGCTGCGCAAGGGCAAGGACCGAATTCAATCCCTGGTACAAAAAAAAAAAAAAAAAGGACCAGGGATTTAGCTCAGTGGTTCAGCCACTTGCCTCGAAAGCACAAGTTCGATCCCTGGTACCAAAATCAAACAACAACAACAAAAACACAGAATTGTACATATGAATAGGAGAACACAGTGTATCTAGGCTTTATTACTGTCTTCGGTTTCAGGCATCTGGAGAGCTGAGATCTTATACCCCCACAGGGGGAGCTACAGGGCGTCTAAATGATGAAATACGTGCGACCACTAAAATGTGGCAGACACGGTACATAGGACAAGATGTTTATGTTATATCAAGAGCCTGTGAAATGCAGGCTACAAAACAGAATGTTACATTTTAAAAAAATGTGTAGTGTGATCTCATATATAAAGCAGATCACCAAACTTGTTTTGTGAAGTGATACCATTTTTATTTTTAAAAAAACCTATTAAAAGCATGTATATGTATATGCATCTTAGAATAGCACACAAAAGCTTTATCTGTATGGCAGGAATAATATATTCATCATATTGTTAACAAGTTATTAATCTATTTTTCTAAATGCTTATATTAAGGATAATTTCTAAATTCTATATATATTTGGTCCATATTTTCTAAAATTTAAGACAAATAACTCAGAATTCTATTCTCTGTTCAACCTAGAGAAATGCATGTGTTTTCCCAGTATACATGTCCTTAAATATTCCCAGGATTACTTTTTTTTTTTTTTGGTACCGAGGATTGAACTCGGGTCCTTGTGCTTGCGCAGCAGGCGGTGAAACCACTGAGCTAAATCCCCAGCCCTCCTAGGATTACTTTCATAATAGCCCCAAATTGGAAATGTCTCAAATCTCCATATATAATAGAATGCCTAAACTGTGGTACAGTCATGTGGTGGAATATTATACAGCAGTAAAAATGAATGGACTGCAGCAGCCAGTAATAACACAGGTGTCTCATAATTTTAAGCAAATAGTGCTAGACACCAAACACACAGTGTGATTCCATTCATATAACTTTAAAAGGCAAAAGAGATACATAGGTGGTAAAGCTGTAAAGAAAAATAAGGAAATAATGATACTGCCACTTAGGGAGTAGTTATTCACTGGGAAAAGGGAAAAGTTATAAGGAGAATTCAGTAAAGGCTTATGGAATACAAGTAATGTACTATTTCTTGGCCTAGGAAATGAAACTATCCATCTGTGCTCTGTGCACTTTTCTTACATGTGTTCTGTTTCCACAGGTGAAAAAATCATAAATGTGTGAGCCTGTACATAATAGTGTGATCCCAGCACTCAGGAGGCTGAGGCAGGAAGATCTCTGGGAGTTTGAGGCCAGCCTTGGGTGCATAGTGAGCTCAAGTCCAATTTGGAATATATAGTGAGACCCTATCTCAAAACGAACAAAAAATCCCCAAACAAAACTAAAAAACAGAATAATATAAGAGGGAATAAAAATGGGGAAAGAGACGGTGGGAGGCAGAGGGTGCCACTTCACACCCTTCCGCCACCCCAGGCTCCTGTGGGTCTCACTCACGCGTCTCCCAGGAAGAGGTTGGGCCAGACCTCGTTGACGTGGTTCAGGGTGGTGGCCCTGCGGACCCACAGCAAGCGCTGCAGTGAGCCCAGCGTGGGCGGCTGGTAGGGGGATGATACCCTTCTGGCCCCGTGTATCTTGGGCCTCCGGAGGTCCTGCTTCTGCAGTGAGTCCATCCTGGAACAAAGTAGACAGTGCAGTGGCTGGGGACAGGCTCCCCAGCTGACAGGGAGGCTGTGGTACAGGTCCCAGGGCCCACATGTGCTGTGGGTGAGGCCCCAGATTTTTTTTGAGACAAGGTCTTGCTGTGTGGTCCAGGCTGGCCTCAAACTCAAAGAGATCCTCCTGCCTCAACCTCCCAAGTGCTGGGATTACAGGCCTGCACCACCATGCCAGTAGCCCCAGCTATTCTGGATGAGGCTGTTAACTAGCTTAGCTGGTCTTTTCTCCAAGAACAAACTTGTCACTATGGTGGCCCTGAACACACCTCTCTCCTAAAGCCACAAATGTTGGAAGCTTTGGGGTTGGGTTCCCCATTTATGGCAAAGCCAGTGCAGCCTTAAAGGGCTGGTCAGTTGGGGTTTGTAGGGATGGGAGCCCCAGGTGGCTGTGGCTCTCAGAGGGCACCCGGGAAGGCCCCCAACCTGGGCAGCTCAACTTCAGCCCCACCCTTGCCACTTCTGGTGTGCTCCTCAGCCCCACCCCTCCCACTTTCAAAAGCTGGAGATCAGAGCTTCCCATGAGGGTGAGAGCAGAGATGTGGACTGGTATTTGTGAGCACTGCCCACGGGGGATGAGTGGGGCCTCCCTCCGGGTGTCCCTGTCTTACACAGGAGGTCGCTGGGGCTCAGAGTGCTTTCCACACAAAGCCACATGGCTGATGAGCATGAAGGCTGCAGTTTCCATCCAGGCCCAAGAGCCTTCCAGTCCCACCCCAAGCTGCTCAGCCGCCCCCTTGGAGACTTGAGAATGGTCACAGCCCTTCCAGACCTTTCCTGGGGAGCCTGGTGTTGCAGAGCCCTGCTCTCCCTCCTTACCCCCGAGACTGAGACTCGGGCCCTCGAGGCTCCACAGGCCTGGCCCGGGTGGGCTGGGCTGTGTCTGTGGTCGGCTGGCCCAGGGTGTCTGGGGCTCTGCAGAGCTGGGCTGTCAGGGGCACCAGAACCTGGGCCTGGTGCTGCACTGGGAAGGAGGGCCTGTCCTGGCCGACCATCCCTGCTCCCCTCAGCCAGCAGCCAGGGAAGGTACAGACTGGGAAAAGCATCTTTTCCCTCCGGTCAGCGGTGCCAGGACCAGCAACGGCAAGAGGCACCCAGGAGACCATGGTGTTGGCTGTGCCTGCCCAGCGGGTGGCTTGTGGGCAGGGCGGAAGTGAGGGTCCAGCTCTCCCCTTCATCCCCACTGTGACCTCTCGGCAGGCTGGGTGGCCTGCTACCAACCTAGGGCATGGTCTGGGGCAGGGCTCTGGTGTGAGCGGAACAGGGCCAGGGCAGGTTCTGTCCGGAACACACGTGCTGTGAAATGACCAGGATTCCAGGCCTTGGGCCCTCGGGGGTGGGGCTGGGAGCGGACCCAGCCTGTGGCCTGAGGTGGCATCCTCCCAACCCTGGCCCTGTCCAGAGCACCTCTGGGACTGAGGGCCCTGATCCCTGTAGCCACCCTGAAGATGGGCGGCTACCTGAGACAGTGGCCAGGTACTTCAGAGTCGGGGAGAAGACTGGCTCCTCTTAGAAACAGGCCGCCCCTGACTGTGGCCCCCTCAAGTCTGCTGCCTGGCCAGCTTCTCCCTCTGGCTGAAGATCCTGGCCTTGCCTGACTTCTCAGGTCTCTGGGGCTCTGTCCCAAGCAGAATACAGGGCATTAGGCAGTGTAGCATGTTGGGGTGAAGAAGGCCCAATGCAGGGGAATCCACAGCCACCCTGGTCTGCAGCACCCAGGTGGGGCTTCCCCAGCTGCGGGCAGGACCCGAGGGGCCTTGGAGCTTGGTGTGGGGTAATGTTGCCCTCTGGTGGTCCGTGGGTGCCATGCAGCCCAGCTGTACAGGGAGCAGGGAGCCAGGCTCTGGCTGGACCCACTGCTCCCAGGGATCAGAGAGGTCAGGGATGGGGGCTGCTGGGGCACAGCCAGGGCCTCAGCATCCTAGGAGACCTGGCCCAGGTCTGCAGCATGGAGCTCTTCCCTGGAGTCGGGCCATTCCTGCACAAGTCCCACTGAGGCCCCGGTCCTGAGCTCAGGGTGACCGGTCCATCAGGTCTGCCCTGGCACACCCAGGAAGGGGAGGCTATGGGCACACTGCCTGGGTCCTGCCACTCCAGCCAGGGTCTGTAGAGGGCGCTCCCTGCACCTCCCTCCAAACCTCAGCCACAGCAGGTGAAGCTCGGCCGGAGTCCAGCAGGACAGGGCCCAGGCCCAAGCCCTTCTTATCCCACCCCTCACTCTGCTCCTCACTCCCCTTGGCTGAGCAGCTGCCTCTGTGAGCCTCATTTTCCAGCTCCTGCACTGCTGCTGTTTACAAGCTCACACTCCCATCTTCTGTCTTCATCCAATTTTCTCCTCTAGGTTGCTCACCCTCCTTGCCTGTCTCCCACCCTCTCCCAGGAAGTGCACACTCCTATGCAGCTTCCAGAACCATGCCTTCTATGCCCATAGCTGAGATGCTGTGAGTATCCCAGGAGATACCTAATATAAAGCACCGTGCTCCCATGGGATGTTGCGTCACGGTAGATGCCTAGTGAATGACACATTTTCCTATTGTTATTAACTATAATTACTCTTCCCTCTTCAAGCCTCAGCCAATGGGAAGAGAGCAACTTTTTTTTTTTTTTGGTATCAGGGATGGAACTCTGGTCCTTACACTTTCAAGGCAGGCGGCGGCACCACTGAGCTGAATCCCTGGCCCCAGACATCAGTTGGTTTTTTGAGACAAGGTCTCACTAGGTATTCCAGGCTGCTCTTGAACTTGCTGCATAGCCCAAGCTGGCCTCAAACTCACAGTCTTCCTGCCTCAACCTCCCGAGTGCCAGGATTACAGGCCAGTGCCACCACGCCTGGCTTTCCACTCACCGCTCATTAGGGAAGGACGTACTGTGTGGCAGACAGAGGAAGTGCTTGCATTTTCTCACTGACTCCACGCAATGCCTTACGAAGGGGGTGCTGTTATTATCCCCATTGCACAGAGGAGGAAAGCAAGGCTGGGAGAGGTTAAACCATTTGCCCAAGGTCACACAGCCAGTCAATGCGTGTGGGGATTCAGGATTTGGGCCTGGGTCTTTCTGACTCTCTTGTGCTTTGTCCTTCTGTCTCGTTCCCATTTGGTAGCCAGCCCACCCTCACCCTCGCCCCATACATGGGCATGAATGCCGGCACCCATTCCCTGGGTTAGTGGTGGTCACCCACCTGTGGGGGTGTCCAGCCCGGGCCGAGGTCTTCTCCAGCACACAGCTTGTGCCTCCGGCTGCCAGCCACAGGTCTCTGCACACTTGATGCTGTTTCTATTTTTTGATTTGAGTGTAATTATAAAGCATGCCGTCTGCCTCCCCTTCCGGCCACCCTTGCCACTCCCAATCATCCACCGGCCCCATGGCATGGTCAGTGCCAGGCCTGGCCTCAGCTGGGCCCACTGGGGAGACAGCTGGGATGGCACGGTCGGACAGAGGGTCCCACAAGCTCTCTGGGGCAGGAGCACCTGCCTGAGTTCCATCCTTGGCACAAAAACCAACAACTCCTGGGCAGGGGATTTAGCTCAGCAACACAGCGCCTGGCTGGCAGGTGTGAGGTCCTGACTTCATCTCCAGTACCAAACAAACAAACAAAAAACAACTCCCTTGGTCTCAGAGGACAGGAAGTGGGACCGGAAGGATTGCTGGAGGGCAGAGAAGAGACATGCCTGAAGCACACACAAGTTGGTGGACTTGCCAATGTCAGTGCCCAGTCCCAGAGGCCTTATTGGGAGCTGAGGAAGGTGGGACCGGACCAGGATTAAAATGTGGAGATGCAAAGGGTGTGGTGGTACATGCCTGTAATCCCAGCACCTGGGAGGCTCAGGCAGGAGGACCGCCATGAATCTGAGGCTGGCCTGGGTTATATACTAAGTTCATAGTAAGTTCACTATGCCTGGACTGCAGAGTGAGACCCTGTCTCAAAAAACAAAACAAGGGCGGGGGATTTAGCTCAGTGGTTTCGCCGCCTGCTGTGCAAGCGCAAGGATCCAAATTCAATCCCCGGTACCAAAAAAACCAAAAACAACAACAACAAAAAAACGGCCGGGGGTGTAGCTCAGTGGCTCCACACTGGCCTGGCAAGTGTAAGGTCCTGAGTTCAATCCCTGGTACTGCAAAAGAAAAACAAAACAGAAAAAAGATCTGGAGCCACAGGCCAAGGGCCACAGTGCAGACAAAAGTGTCTGTGGAGCACAGATTGGGGCAGCTTTTGTCCAGGGATCACTCCCACCTTCCACCACCTTCTCCTGCCCTCAAAGACAAGAACATTACCAGTGTCGCTGGCCCTGGCCCACAGTTCCATGGGGAAAGTGAGAGCCTCCTGAGGCCGACTATAATCATTAGAGTAGATTTGGACCTGTTAGGAACCCTCCTTGTTGCCCAGAGACCATTTTTTTTAGATAGGGTCTCGCTATGCATCCCAGGTTGGCCTGGAACTTGTGGTGATCCTCCTGCCTCAGCCTCCCGAGTGCTGGAATTACAGATGTGCACCACCACTTTCGGCTTTTCCACCTACCCTGTGCCTGAAGTCTGAGCTCCTCACCCGGCCCCTCAGCTGCGGCTTGCACCCCCAAGTCGCTGGTCCAGCTGGCGGAGTTGGTGGAGGAAGCCGCGGTTGGGGAAGATCCATCGCCGCTCCCGCACGGCAAGCACGGCCTGGCGCAGGGACAGCCGCTGGTGCAGCATGAGGTAGGCCAGGACCAGCGTGGCCGAGCGGCTCACGCCCACCACGCAGTGCACCAGGACCTTGGCTGGGAAAACGACTGGTGAGAGACACTGTCAGTCTCACAGCCGGCCCACCCAGGGCACCTTTCCCCGCCCCGCCTGGGTGTGGGCCGCATAGCAAGTTGCTCAACCTCAGCTTCCCCATCTTTGGTTTGTTTGTTTGGTACCGGGGATTGAACTCGGGTCCTCGCACTTGTGAGGCAGGCGGCGTATTTGGTTGGTTTTTTTTGAGACAAGGTGTTGCTGTTTAGCCCAGGCTGGCCTCAAACTTGCAGGGATCCTCCTGCCTCAACATGTTTCTGATCTTTCACATGGGTAAACCAACCCCCATTTTTCTGGCTTTGGGATGGTGCCCAAATCCTTAACATGGCTTAGAAGACCCCGAGGTGAGCCTGCAGCCTGTCTCATTGGATCCCCAACCCTCAGCTCTGGAAACACTGGTCTCCAGTCTCCAGCCTTAGCCAGTGCTGTTCCTGCTTCCTGGGATGCATCTCCTGCCTTCAAGTGTCAGCCGAGACAGGGCTTTACTGACCCGGCAGGTGTCACCTGAATCACAGAGCAGCTCACCGATTTTGCATGTGGCCCAGCGGCCCTAGCTGTGGAGGGGAGTCCCCACTTCCTTGACTCTGGGGACTCGGCCCTTGCCCTGTGTTCTCGTATTTGTTACCCTGGGAGCAGCACTCAGGAGACTTCACTATCTGACTGGCAAGTCCTGTGAGTGTGGGGACCCTGCCTTGTGGAAGTCTGGATTCTCAGAATCTAATTCAGTGCCTGGGATAGCAGATACTCAGTGAATAGCTGACAGATGAATGGATGAAGAACAGAATGTCTAGGTGCTTTGGACATTAAAAATTGGTATGAGGGCCAGAGATTTGGCTCAGTGCCGCCGCCGCCTGCCTCACAAGTGCAAGGTCCTGAGTTCAATCCCCTGTACCAAAATAATAATAATAATAATAATAATAATAATAATAATAATAATAATATTTTGTCTGGGGATTTAGCTCAGTGGTTCCGGCGCCTGCCTCGAAAGCACAAGGTCCCAAGTTTGATCCCCGGCACCAAAAAAAAAAAAAAAGTTGGTATGAGCTGTAGTCATGTCATTCCCATTACAAAGATGAGGAAACTGAGGCAGAGAGGGACACTGGCTTGTGCAGGGTCACGTACCAAGGGGCACAAGCTGTCTCCCAGGATGAATACAAAGCCAGGGCTCCAGCCAGTCTCTTTTTGTTTGGTTGGGTTTTTTTTTGAGACAGGGTCTCTCTATGTAGTTCAGGATGGACTTGAACTCACTGTGTACCCCAGGCTGGCCTCAAACTCGCAGCAAACCTCCTGCCCCAGCCTCCCAAGGGCTGGGATCACAGGGATGTATCACCATACTCAGCTAGTCTTCTTTGTTGTATTCTGGGTATTTGAGGGTTTTTTGTTGTTGTTTTTAAATTTTAAAGTATGTCAGGGTAGACATTAGGTACTAATGGTGATTTCTTTTGCTTTTTTTTTTTTCACTTTTCTTTTTTGGTACCGGGAATCAAACTCAGGGCCTCAGGCTTCCCAGGCAGGTGCTACACGGCTGAGCTACACCCCTGGCCCCCAGTGGTGATTTCTTGAGGCTATTACAGAAAAGGAATTGTCCTGCTAATTTGGAGAGCTGGCTCCCCACCCAGGGCTGCTGCTGACCCCCCTCGTGGCCTGATACTGTTGTCTGCTCCTCTCTGGGAGGCAATGAGGAGTAGTGCTGGAGCACTGAGGGGAGGGTTTTTTAAAACCAGGGAGGGAAAGGCACTGAAAAGTGAGGGAAACGGGGCGTCCTCCCCACAGATGCACAGGGTGGGGCCAGGGTTCCCACCCACTCCTACCCCCCGGGCTGCTGAGGGCTCGGTGGATGAAGTCTGCTGCAGAGGAGAAGTAGGTGCTGATGTCGAAATCGGGGAGGTCGTAGGCCGGCACCCCTAGGTAGCTCACTCTGCTGCCGTAAAAGTCGGGGCCGCCTTGGCAGTAGAGGCCCCCGTGCGCGGCGTTCAACACGTGGGTGATCCCCAGCTTCCATAGCTCAAAGCGGTTGTTTGCCGTCGCCCTGGGGAGGGCAGGAAGGAGCTGGAGGCTGGCTGAACCGTGGGATCCAGGAAGGAGGTGTCCGTGTCTCCCTCCCTCCCTCCCTCGGCCAGAGGGAGCCAGAACCCAGTAAGCCCCGCTTCCGGCGCTTTCAGGAGTAGAGCTGGTGCGGGTTTAGTTTGGATCCTTCCTGCTTCCTTGGGGCATCTACCCCCGGCCAGGTCAGGAGGGAAGGGACTGTTTCCACCTGGGACCCGGCTGCCCTGCCCTTCTTGCCCCATCTCCTCCCACACACATCCTGCCTCACTTGGTCACAGCTGCATACCTCCTTCCAAGCTGGAAACGATTAGAGCGACACCTCTGTGTCTCACCATCATAGGCTTCTCCACCCACTCTGTGTCCAGAGGGGGAAGCTGGGACCAGGAAGGGGTCTCTCTGTTCACCTGGTCTCAAACTCCACACACTGTCCCTCAGGCCTTTGTCCCCAGACTGGCCCGTTGTCCTGGATGTGCCAGGGGCCTCCAGAGCCCTGTGGGAAGTGCCCTTACCACAGGCGGCGACAATCCCCGCCCCTCCCCCATCCGGTGGCCACACCTGGTCCCTGCACTGTCTCAGGCAAATGGAAGTCCAGGAGAAAGGCCCACCGGCCCAGGATTTCTCCTTGTTCCCACCCACCCCCTTGGACCAGCAACCACTCACGCATCTCCTATGAAAAGATTAGGCCAGACTTCGTCCACACGGCTGCAAGAAGCCTTCCCGGCCCTCAGGAGCTCCTCCAACTCCAGGACACTGGGACAAGGCGTGGCCTCTGTGTCTCCCCCCAGCTCTGGGAGTGAGGCCTCAGCCATGGGCCAGTCTGGCCCACACCTCTGCCTCTGTGTTCACCCCCTCTGCGCTTTTCCCATGTCGTTTCTCCTTCCCCGAGACTGGCAGGGACAGGTGGGACAAGAGTGAGTGACTCAGCGAGTCCCAGAGGCCTCCAGAGAGAGCAGGACTGGTTTCTCCCAGGCCAGAATCACCCCCAAACTCCTTGAGAACATGGAATTGTGGGACTGTGTGATTCAAAAGTTAATTACTCCCCTAGATTCTGTTGTAAATTTGATGGTTGGAGTGTGTTTGCCTCGGGACAATGGACAATCAGTAATAGGGCGAGGTTACTCAGCCATCTGTTTGCCCTAAA